CAATAAAATCTGCTGCAGATATGGACCAAAATAACAATTTTTGTTCAATAACTTTACCCAGATGGCCATGTTGGTAACATGTCTGTCTAGCATAGGGCAGGTACTAGATTAGAATTCCCTTTTAATTAATTTCTCTCTGGAGTCGCTAGCTGAAAGGTTAGCAATTCAAACCCAACCAAAGGGACCTCAGAAGATGGCCCCAGGATCTGCCTCTGAAAGGTCACAGCCTTGAAAACTCTCTGGAGCAGTTCTACTCTGAACTCAGGGGGTCACCAGGAGTCAGAATCAAGATGATGAAAAGTAAGGAAAACAACTTCCCTCTGACCTCAGAGGAAATATCTCCAGAAGTTTCTCAGTCTTTAATTGTTGCCACTTTTTCTGTATAGTCTGTGTAATGACTCTAAAGTTTACAAATCTTTACAATATAGATTTCTCCATTCCAAGGGTAAGTTTGTGCATAGCTGGCGATGTTTCTATCAAGCATCTATCAAGTAGGGCTTGTTGCTCTTTATCTTAGGCAGTATAAATAGGCCCAAGTTTCAGTAGTAAGAGGATTAGTGGATGTTTTATCATGAAGCTTAAATTTCAATGCCCCATCTAATTTTATATTTGTAATTATAGTTTTCAGACAGCTCTCAAAACTTGTGTAAACTTCAGATCCCAGAATATTTGCATATATCCTTGTCTATAGGTTTTTTTTTTTTTTTTTTTCTTTCAAACAGCTCAGTGCAAATATACATTTTTAAAAATCTTTCACTGGGATTCTATCCAGTTCATGTGGGTCTACTGTTATATCTGTCCCATTTGGGGTAGGACAAAAAATGAGGTATCCCATTATAAGGGAAGTCATACATGACAGCTAAATTCAGCTAGCAAAGACAACATCTTATTAATAAATAACAATGAAAAACACCAAATTATGCTCAACATATGTTGTTGGTTTTGTTGTAATGTTATTTTCTGATACAATGAAATTGCTCTGATCATGTGGTTTACAGAGTACAGTCACCAACAATACTCCTCATGATACTGTTAGGAAGTTAGATTTCAAGTCTTCTAACAAATATTTTGGGAAGCCTTTCTCCCAGCCTCTAATTACTGTTCTCTTCCTCTACCACCATCTTGTTTCGTTTGCTGTGATTTGTGTCTGGTGTTTCCACATCAGTCTTCCCTTTGCTGTTGCATCATGCCATAGTCTCAGGCTAAAGTCAATCTATCTACCTCATTGCTTTGCAGTCTTCTTCCATGGGTTTCTCTCACTCTCTCCCAGCCCCAAGTTATACAGAGTTTCCTGTAATGTACTCACTCACTACAACCTCTAGTCTATTATCAATAAAGAGACCCACCATCTGGTATGGGTGAGCATCACTGGAGGTGAAAATGACAACGACTTCTCAGAATCAGCCATGTTACTCAACAGCAAGCCAATAAGAAGAAAGCCACAGAGTGAAATCTTAGCAGCATTAGGATGTGGAGAGCTAGTTACTCAAACATGGAAATTGACTGGGACACCAGAAGAGAAGCTTTTTACTAAGTATTTTTTTTTTAAAAAAAAGTGTTCAAGTTATTTATGTTAGTGATTCAGAAGTCATCAGGTTTGAGTTCATCTTTCAGCAAGATAGTACTTTAGTAAACAAAAAGGATTTTTTAAGAAAGATATTTTAAAGTAACCACTATAAACAAGAAGAGGAAGTAAACATAAGACTTCACAGTGGTACTGATTTTACAAGACAAGTTTAACCAGCCTAAATTACTAATGCACTGAAAAATTTGAAGGCTCTTTCAATGGAAAAGAGAGATCCAGGTCTTCCTTTTTTCTCCTTCTCTAGGTATGGACAGACAAAATGGATAAATAAAGAGGACTGCTGGGGTATTCAAGAACCCTTTTGTGACCTTACCAATGAAACCTCAGATATACAAGAACTTTATTATGGGAGGGTAAGAGCGGCTGTGGCTGAGATCCACTCCAGCTGGAGCGTGAGCCCACGGTTTACTCCCTGGTGGGAAAGTGAGTTCCATGACGTTTCACTATACTTGCTCTTCCTGTGCTTGAAAAGTCCTCATCAAACACAGCCCTTTGCTCTTCTTACTAACTTAAAGATTGGTGGTTCAAACCCACCCAGCAGTGCTGCAGAAGAAAGGCCTGGTGATCTGCTTCTGTAAGGATTACAGCCCAGAAGCCCCTATGGAGCAGTTCTACTCTGCAAAACGGGGTTGCTATGAGTCAGAATCAACTCAATGGCATTATTTTTTTTTTATTTTATTTTTTTGCTACTGTTTGAGGGGTGCTGTGATAATGCATGCCAGCAAGGAAGACAAATCTATAAACAGAAAAGTGTCTATTTCGGTGTCCCTTTCCTCTCTTGGTTGGAAGGGATCAAAAAAATCTATAAGATCTCCCCGGGATATGGGACAATACTGGAGGCCCAGCCTTGGATGTCCTTACTGGGAAGCTGGACGCTCAGTAGTGACATGGTCAGTCCAGCATTGGTAAGAGGAAGTCCGTATTGGTGACTCTATATATCCTCCATGCCTTTCACAGTTATTTTGTTAATGAACCCAGAGGCTGTCACTGTGTGCCCCTAGATTTATGAGAGCTTCTTTAGTAGATGCCTTTTGTTATGCAGTCACATGAACAAAAATATTTATGTTCTGGATCTTAGTACTTAGGAGTCCATCCAGACCTCTTTGCAGACCTCCTACCAGCATCTGAGTAGTGTATAATGCTACAGCAAGTCCACTTTGCACTGGTGCTAGCTTCTGGGAACGAGGTTCACTAATTGGACATAGGGAACTCCTTGAGAGACCATAACTGTAGGGAGGAAGTGGTAAGGCCTTAAGTAGGAGCACTGGGAGTATGAGCTACCTACTTTTACAACTTACTTTAATGTTAAGACCTGCTATGGACTGAGCTCATATAATCTACTACCACTTAAATTGTTGTGTTGCTGTACATTTTATGACTTGGTGTATCAGAGGATACCCAGTTCATGATGTGAAGCTTGGGTTGCATGGTCCTTGATATTCCAAGGTCATGTGTTCAGTTTCCACCAGGGCTCAGTAACAAGGAAATCTAGTGCTGTTTTTCAAAATAAGAATAGTTATTTGCTAAAGAGAGGATGACTGTGCTCCAAAATTCCAGGGGTCTGTGATCTTAGGTTGCCAGCCCCTGGATAGCATTTTGATCTGTTACAGACATTTTGAGAATCATTATATCAGCATGATGATAATAAATGGCAAGTGGTAGAGCTGCTTGATTCCTGGACAAGCTGGGAATTATATCTCTTACTCTTGGTTCCACTCAAAATCTTATGGAAAAGGGTAACACTACTAAATGTGGTGTGTGTTCCCAACAAGCTCAATCCTTCTTAGTAGTTGGAAGTGCAAAGTGAAGCAACTTGTGTTCCACTTCAGAGGAAATGTCTCAACAGAACTCAGATAAGTGGACCACCTGAAGTTTTATGATATTTAACTCCAGCATTCTGCTTACATGTATCTTACTAAATCATCTATAATACCTAGTACTTTAGGCATACCAGGTGCAATCAATGCTATGTAATCATTTTAGTGAACCAACATGATATTTTGTGATGAGAGGACCAAGGTCTCTGAAGACTACATATGACAGAGAGCCAGGATGGCATTGAAAGTCAAGTAAAAGAACTGTTTTGATGCTTCCTAATTATTGGCTAGTGGAAAGAAAAAATCATTCTTCAAATCAATAGTAGTATGTCAGAGGCTATGCTGATTGGCTCCAGGAAAGAGACAATATATTGAATAGCAGTTATAAGCAATTACCACCTGAGAATGTTTACAATGATCCCTTTCGTTATTCAAGACCCATTTTTTAAATATATGTAATTCCAATAAACCAAAAAACCAAACCCACTGCTGTTGAGTCATATCCAACTCATGGCGACCCCTCCTTGAGTTTCCGAGGAGGTATCTCTATGGAAGTAGACTGTCCAACCTTCCTTCTGAGGAGTAAATGGTGGGTTTGAACCACCAGCCTTCTGGTTAGCAGTCAAATGCCTTAGGCACTACGCTACCAGAACTCCTATAATTCCAATAGATGATTTAAATGGGACAATATCTTACTACTTCTGTATCTTTTGAGATGATTTTTGATGCATTAATCTCTGCAGTTAGCAAGGGATAAGGTATTGCTTCTGATTTTCTGTTTTATTCAAAGAAGAAATTCTGTGGGCTTCTACTTGGCCTTTCATGTCATAGTAACTGCCATTCTGCAGATCAGGAAACCAAAACGAGAATAGATTCTGTCAGTTGTGTATATCTAATTAAGAAACGGACTCAAGCCATAATTGCTTTTATTATCTGACCTCCATAAGATCCTATAGTTGTATTCTGAATCCTCAAGGACTATTATCAACTCAGAATCAGGGTCCATTATTGACTAAAGGTCTGTACTTATACTTTCCTCCTATTTGCAGTGACCCTGTGGGGAAGGACAAAAAGAAGATTCATGGTACAAACTGGTAGCATTATTATTTTACTTGCCTTCCAAATCTCACCCCAGTGATCGAATTGATGGGATGTTCAATTAAATCCAAAATAATAGGATCACAGGCAAAATGCTAGCTCCAAAAGAGTTCAGAAAAAGTCATTTTTAGCTTTTCCACTTGACAACTAGAAAGAGGGTAGAATGGGTACTGAGCAAATCATTGCATGGTATTCCACATGGTTCCTTGGGATAACTTGAGATTTATACCCCATACATTCAACCAACAATTCTCTAGTGAAAGAAAAGAAAGTTTCATACCTTAGTTGGTGTCCACCAGTGAAGAGAATTTGCAGAGTACTGTGATTATTATATTCAAATGTAGAAATGGGGTCAAGTTCAATTTTATTTATTAAACAAAACCAATTTCTAGTCTGCTTCATAAGGTAAGTCAGGTAAAAATAGCCAATGTTGAAGGGGTTGGCTCAATGTTATTTAAATGTGGATAAGAAGGGTTTGTGTTCTTTATTTATGACCACCCCCACTTAAATATAAAAGAAAAAGAAAAACCTTGGGAAGTGCTCTTTAAAAACAGGTAGGCTGAATGATCAGGATGTCTAGGCAAAAGGGAATATACTCACAACCATATATACGTTTGGCAGATAATATTTTTACATACATATTTGTATGTGCTGTAAGAATGTCCATATACATAACAGAGCTAACACGGGGCAAAATTATGATAACTTCTTAGCCACAGCCAAATACCATGAGCCAGGTGTTGGGCCTGTGAGCTTGGGACTATGGTCAAGGGAAACATCAAGCTCAATTGGCATAACATACTACACAAAAACATTGTTCTACATCCTACTTTGATGAATAGGGACTGGGGTCTTAAAAGCTTACAAGTGGCCATCTAAGACACAATGTTGGTCTCTTCTCATCCAGAACAAGGAAGAATGAAGAAAACCAGTGACACATGGAAACAATTAGTTCAAGGGACTAGTGGGCCATGCAAACCTCAGCCTACATGACTGTGAGACTGGAAGAATTAGATGGTGCCCAGCTACCCCTGTCAACCACTCAAAAAGGAATCAAAATAGGAGATTCTGTATAGAGTGGGAAAAAAATGCAGGGCAAAACTCAAAAATCATAATAAAGACCAGTCTTACTGGTCTGATAGAGACTGGTAAAACTCCTGCAACTATGGCCCCTAGCCACCTTTTGTGCCTGGAACTGAACTCATTCTTGTAGCTTCTAGACAAACAGTAGACAGGCATATAAAGTGAACATTTATACCAAGTAGGTACACTCCTTAGAAAAACCAACCATGGGAGATCAGAAGGGCAGTGTTTGCACAGGAAGA